TGCAGATACGACTTCACTGCACTAATGTATTGGGACAATAATAGTAATGCACTATCTATAGTAATAATGATACCATATACTAATCCACAGACACTGTGGACACTTTATTATCACATGGCCTAATTAAATCTATGGAGTCCAAATACAGTGCTATTTTGTGAGCTGCATCTTCAATGTGAGCTGCATCTTCCACTATACCTTCTCCTTCAGATCAACTGCCACCTCAGCAGAGATCTTTAGCTAACTGACGTTAGTACCTGTATACCGATGAAGGTCCACTCCGGCTGGCCGGACACACGTGAACTCACACGTATGGCATACAAGCACGGAGTACAGAATACACACACACGCTGACCTTCTTGTCCTTTTGCAACGTACTAATGCGTCTTTCCCAAGCATTCCCATTGGACTGTGAAAAGCTGGAAACCAGTTGCCCTTGTTCAGTGTGTTCCTCGTGTCCACTCAGTCGTTTTGGTGGTCTTTCCGGTCATTGCGCACCGACTTAATATCAAAAAACTAAGAAGCTGGTATGTTACTGTCACACATAAACACAAATATTCCTGCCTGACAATACCGATGTAAAAGTGTTAATGCTATGAAACAATAATTCACGCGTCGTATTCCTTGTTAGTTATTGCCAGAGGGGAATAAAAAGCCAAAAAAAGGATCCTGCCTCTTCGAGCAGAAGTCAGAGATTTACTGTGTATTTTAACTCCACAATCAGTCATTTATCCCTTTGGTTGTGTTTCCACTGAAAGTGCTGCAGGAGAGTTGGGGCTGCCTCCCCAATGCTGATTGTGCTGTGATCAATGATGCACAGGGATTGGTAATAGGGAATCTCTCAAATGTAAAATTAATTACCTGCAATCTGACAGCATCAGGGAAACTCAGCATGTTTTTTATGCTTACTTGGTAGTCCCCTTTTTCCGTGCTTGCTTTAGCATAATGCATATATGTGTTTCTGTTTGTGTGTGTGTGTGTGTGTGTTTGCGTTGGTTGTTGAAGTTGGGAGTCTGCAGGGGAGGTAGGATGCTACGTGTCTGGAGTCTGTCAGGTGGGGCTGAATTAACACATTGTGATTTTGCTTGAAAGGACACTTTCCAGCAGGAAGAGGAAAGTCTTCTTTCCTTTATCACTCGACTGGTTTCCTTTTTAACACACATGCCATGAATACGGAAGTGCTTCTTGAAAGCATGTAGTTTGGTTTTAAAGAAAAATTACATTTATATCGACAAACTGGTCCTGGTGCATTGAAACCCACTGTGGGAGATGTGGTGGTTGGAGGTTCTGGTTTGTATTTTGTGATTGGAGTGTGTGAAGTGGAGTAAGCTTTTGCCTTTGAGTCACTGTCTCAGTTTAGTGGTGAAAAAAAAACTGCCAATGCAGCTTTCAAGCAGCATTTTGACTATTAGTAAATGTTAAAAATACATGTTTTTGTCTCACACGATCCTGACAGTTGATGAGACAAATAATAGGGAGAAAAATCAGGTTCCTCTGCCTTCTCTTAACGCTACCAATAAATAAATAAATATATATATATACATTTGGCATTTCTTCAATTTTCCTCTAGTTCGTCTGAAAAAAAGAGAAATAGTGTGAGCACTAGAAATAGTAACATTTATAAGTTTAACTTACACTACTTGAATGAAAGGCCCCGTTATTTATTACTGTCTATCGGACTGAGCCATATAACCCCCTCTATCAAACTTCATCCAATGAGACTATCAGGTGCCGTGAGACTGATTGTCCCAGTGTTTTGGTATCTCAATCAATACGCTGGGATTGATTACTTTTTCCTGATTTAATCCCCCCCCCCCACTCATTTTCTCTCTCCAGCGCCACTCAATCTCACTGGCATTGGGAAACAGGGACGGCTATATCAGCCAGCTCCACATGTAGAGAAGGAGAGAAACCAGAGGAGACATTGACAGAAACGCCGAGTGAGAGAGAGACCAATAATGTAAATTTACAAAAAGGTCTTCCAAATGCGTGAAATAACAATAGGAAGATTTCCTTTTTGGTAAAGCAGTCAATCAGGGTAGTTAAACACGTCAATGTGAGAATCCTTGAAGCCAGAGTGTGACCTTGTCCACCGCGCTGGTCCATGGTGACTCCAGCCAGGTGCTTCTGTCAGGGCTGAGCGGGTCAGAGAAACAACATTTTCTTCTGTTCTGTTGCTTTAAACAGACTCATTAATATACCGCATGTGTCCCCAGCAGCGTCTGACTGCGTCCCCTCTGGGCTGGGCTAGTTTTGGCATGACATGAAGTAAGGACACAAACATTTACTGAATTTAGCCTCTTTGTATTACGTATCAAAGCGGAGTCTTTGCACTTCCCGTGAACCCGCATCACTTATTCGTCTCTCTCCCCGTGCGTGTCGGTGTATGTGATTTTGTGAGTGAGAGCGGAAGCCTATAAGAAGATCTGTTATCAACGCAGGACAGATGTAACACACAGCTTTTGCCTTCGGTGATAGATTTGGTCCCAGACAAGAGGCTGCCTTCCGATTCGTTGAGAACAAGCGAGGCCCCCTTTAACGCTGTTGAGATGCATTGACTTTCAAACTACAAGCTCGCTACAACATGCAGAACAAAATGCTATTGTTTTAATCTCTTTATGCTGAATACGTTGCTACAGACAGCGGCCTGTAAGCTTGGCTTACTGTGACATGATTACCAGAGCCTCAGAGGGACAGAGTTAAAGCCTGAGGAGAATGTCCGCTTACAAAGTTTGTGAGAAGCGTAATTCACTTTTAACACTCCTCTCTACTACTCCCACTTCATTAATTGTTCAGGTCATTTTTTATTATTTTTTGCTTCCACGCAGCAGTTAAATTAAGCGTGAAATCATATGATATAAGATTCACTTTGATGGACTATCTAATCTGAGACCTGGCACTGGGTAGTTCCTTTTTACTTAAATTGATTGTAATTGTTTGATCATTTGGTCCTTGCTCATATGTCATTGCAAGATACAATGAAAGACCCTCTGACCTTCATCTCCGACCTTATCCAGAGTTTAGATGTTGTTGTTTTTCTCTGCTCAGTTATTAATAAACCATAGAAACGTGCATAGTAATACATGTCCATATATATATATATATATATATATATATATATATATATATATATATATATATATGCTAGCATGTATGCTGGCATGATACCTGGCATCCGTAGAGTCTCGCCAAGATTCTTGTGGAGCAGATTCGGCACCATCTGGAAGTGGCACATTAGTGCTACTCCACCCAAAGCCAAGAAGATGATTGCTATCAGCATGATTACGCCTTCATTAGATTAGCTGTGCATTGTTTACGAGCTTGTGGCTCCACTCACAATGTCCGCCAGACAAATAAATACTTTCCTCTGAAAAACGGATGCAATGATCAACTCAACAGAAGCTTCATACATTTTTACGAATTAGTGCATCAATTTGCTTCTCTAGGAGACGATCATTATGTTTGATATCCTGCAGTTTATTCCTTCATGTTTGTCATTATGGTCAGATGAACAAATAAAGGTTAGAGCTTAAAGTTTGACCGTTGATCTGTTGTGGAGCTGGAACCTTGATCAAATGACCAAAGATCCACACACATGTTGTCTAAAGAAATACGTGTGTGTCGTCTCCCACTGAAAAAAGAGGAGACACTTAATCAACAAATCAATGTTCTTGCTATGAAGCAAATGTTAAGGTAAATCAGAACTTGTATTTTGAATACATCTGTTGAATTATAGAGTTAATGACATACGCGTATAAAGAAATATTTCAAAAGTAGAACACGTCGTCATCCAAGAGTTAAAGTAAGAATGTGGTTTAATGGTCTATAACTGGCATTTTTACAGATACGTCACCCAGATTCTTCCGTAAGTGCAGCGTGGTCCGTTTTGTCACAGTGGAAAAAAATAAAAAATGAAGACATTTTCCACCATAACAGCTCATATTAGCACCACGCCAAGAAATGAAGACGTGTTCAGAGGAGAGAAACGCTGTGCCAACGTCTGTCTCCTCAATGCCAGTGCAAGGGGAGAAGGGAAAGTTTCCCGGCAGAGCCAACTTTCCACACCAGCTGGGGAGCCGGGGAGAGGCACAGTTTCTCTCATCTCCTGCTGGTCTGTATGACTAGCCACTATCTCCAAACAGCGCTTCAGTCATCTTGCCAGACACCTTAACGGCCTAAATGTTGGATTCTTACAATACCTGGAAAACAGCACTATTGTGTTTTTTTCACGTCTTAAAAATGTAAACCTGCTCTTTTTCTATTCAGCACGTTAAAGGCAGTCAGGGGATTTTGGTAGCTAATGTGGTTGTTAGATACAATTCAATTAAAATTCTCACATTGATATGTAGATGCGCGTTGAGGTTAAAATTCAAATCAACGGGCCACTGATTTTGCTGAGCGTGAAATCCTTTCCTCTCAGCGGCTCTACACTGACTCCCTTCATTGCCATGTGAAAAGGAGAACATCAATATTCCAGTCGCTCCTTCGGCTGCCGGTTCAGTCACCAGTTCACAGAGCTCCACTGTCCCTCTCCCTGTCAATGCCGTCTCTGACCACGCTTCCTTTCCCTTTTGCCCTGGCCATCAGCGCCAGACTCTACTTGGATTAAACAGACATTGCGTTTTGCAAGCGTAAGCTACCACCCTCTGTTGGCCATGCCGGGGAGTTCACATATCAAGAAGAAACCTTTGAGATACTGTTCAGCATTGCACTCAGACATTGGAATCGATGCAAGCACAGATCCATCCGATGTCATTCTAAACGAGGTGGAATTAATTATCATGGGGTCACTCACTTTATTCTCTTTGGTCACACTGGTACTGGTCTAAAGGCAACATGAAAGATGATGTATTAATCAGCGGTTTGAGCCTGGCTTACATTTATGACTGAGTGCATATTTATTAATTTGACTATTATGAGGTATAGAAATGCAATGGGTGAGCCATACTGATTTCATGTCTAAAAACCTGCCCTATTTCTTTTCTGTTGACTTTCTTCAGGTCCAACTGGCTGAAGCCGTGCTGCGGTCGCCGGGTGGCCCTGTGGCAAGTGTGTCTGCTCAGTGCTGGCTTCAACTGCATCCTGGTGGCCTGTGTCATCCTGGTGGTGCTTTTTCTGTCTTTGGAGCTGCTGATAGACACCAAACTCCTACAATGTAAAGAGTGATCCCGGCTACTTATTTGTACCTCCTATTTGATCAATATTTGCTGAGTATGCATCTTCTCCTCCAGCGACATAGATTAAAAAAAAAAATATATATATATATAAAACACCTGGGAGGCAATACAACATGCATGGCGTGCATAGAGATGCTTTAGTTTCATTGTTTAACTAAAACTTGATCAACTCTACTGGTGCTTTTCCTTTATTGTAAACTACCCGCCAACCGGGTCATTAGATTAGTATTTATTTAAAGAAATCTTTGTGTAATGGTTCATTCTTATTTGTTGCAGCAGTACACCAGCACAGCCTATAACTTCTTGTCACACTTTTGATGTCAATGAGTTGTTAGTAGGATTTGTATTATGCATAAGGGACCCTAAACACTGTGAAAGTAACACAATGTGGACTTTAACACAGAGTACTTAAATAACTTACACAAGGTAGACTTCAGATTTTGTTTCTCATACTGTTTTTCACCACAGTACATTTACAGAACAATTTAAAACGATTCAAGTACGGAGACTTACTTGTAAGTGTTGTAGAAATCATCGACACAACTACGTAACTAATTCATAAAAAGTACTCGTTACGCATTCATGGCCTCTTTTCCATCACGTCCGTGTGAGCAGTCCTGCTGGTCACAGTGGAGCCTGATCTGTTGGTGCTGGATGGTAAATGGTTGTGACGCAGAGTGATGGAGAAAGGTGATAATGAACCGAGTCCCTCGTCGACAGCCGTAGGCACTCGTCCCCAGCGATCGCTGGCCAGCATCCAGCTCCGGGTATACCTGAGGCTCGCTGCGGGAGCTGCAGGAGCTGCAGGAGCTGCAGGAGCTGCAGGACTGCATCACTTCAGAGCTGCTGTAATCTGGTGCTTTGTCTGCTGCCAGTACCTGCAAGACAAACATGGGACTGGGCAATAGGGCGGGTGGGGGGGGCACGAAGAGATTAGAGGCGTGGGACGTTTGTAGATACCGGTCGGCATTGTGGTTTTATAGATGAGCTCTGGGAAATTAAAAAAGAAATGCTGATGAATGGAAAGAGAAGAGAAGCATTTCTAGTTTTCAAAAAGAGCTCCTTGACTTTTTAAAAGGGGAAAAAAGCAGAAGAGATCATCCTTTTTTTTCTTTGTGGAAAATAAATATTACAAAATGATATTTCCATTCAATGGCAAGTCACGTCTTTCTAAGATATGAGCAAAGAGATCCAAAATAATTTTAATAACGATTATATTAAAATGATTTTGTAGAAACACATTGCTTCCTCGTACTGTCACTTTAGAAACTCCGCCGGTTAACGTCTTTTCATGTTTCTTCTTTCAACAGTTTCCAATGCTTTCCAATTTGCCAGCATAATCCACTGGATCAGCCTTATCATCTTGTCACTCTTCTTTTCAGAGGTAACTCAATCCATTGTCCAGAAAAGCGCTGATACAAATCGTACAGTTACCCATTATTATCACGTTAGCCTGTGAGTTTGCAACCTCCATCTCTTGGATAATGGCATGTGTCCCCAAATTAATGTTTTACACGTCGCATTTCTTTTTAAATTATTATTATAACCAGGGTAGTAGAATACGTGGCTGCCCTTCGTCCAGTACGTCGTCTTCTTCGGATTCAGCTTTAGCTTCAGAAATGCTGCCTTGAGGCTGGATGGCTGGTTTGTTTTTTAAACCATAATTGGAATTAGTCTTTCTACAATTTTACCATTGTTTGATAAGACAGTGTTTTAAAATTACTCTAGAATTGTGAAAAAACAAAATGGAGAGGGAATCATTTGGCCCACAAGCCTCCACTCCAGTGCAAACTAATTACCCTGACAGCTTCAGCCCCGACGCCCTAAACCAAACATTAATTACCATTGAGCCATTTGGAGCAATAATTAAAGCTGAGCTTTAATTATTGCGGTAGGGACGGGGTTGCAGAGATACGATCCGTCCCAACCACCTTGCCCACTGACATAAGAGAAGTCATTTAGGAACGGTGTTAGATAGCTTATCACCGGCCTCTGCACCAATCAGAAAACAGGATTCACACATGTGGGTGGAGTCCCTGGACTTCTCGTTTGACACCACCGCTGTTGTGCAACATACGCTGCGGATGATGGATTAGCAGGACCGGTCGTAAATGACACCAAATACTAATTGGAATATAAATCAATAACATGCTCAACAAAGCACAATGGGAAATTTGACAGGTGATAGATGTGCTTTGCATAATAGCTTTATTAAATACTTGGATACAAGCGGTTTCAAATGGACTGTTTTCTTTGTTTTTTGAGATGTCTGTGTGATTCAGTCAGTTACATTGCTCTGCACATGTGAACGTATACACATGCTGGGCCACTTTAAGGTTGTTTCATTTCACATACAGGGTTGTAGCATAGTTACTATTGTATTTGAACAAAAAGTACATTTGGATGTGATGACAACTCTGAAGACTAATAATATCTCGAGAGCTTTTTTTATGTATCCCCTATCCCTCACCTCTCTATTTTAATGCTTTTATTTATCTCTCTCTGTCTTAGACTGTCTTCAGAATTGTCGTGCTCGGGATCTGGGACTACATAGAGAACAAAGTCGAGGTCAGTGCTGTCGTTGTGTGTTTGCTAACAAGCCTTGATGACCAGGTTTCCATTTCTGTCAGTGTTCAATACTATTTGTATTTTTTCCACTTGTTCCTACATAGATATTGTTCAGCATTTTGGGGAAATGCACTTTACGCTGACATTTGCGCGTTGTTTAAGTGTCGACATGCTTTTGTGTGTGTGACCTCTCAGGTGTTTGATGGAGCTGTCATTGTGCTGTCCCTGGCCCCCATGGTGGCCTCCACGGTGGCCAACGGGCCCAGCAGCCCCTGGGATGCCATCAGCCTCATCATCACTCTGCGCATCTGGAGAGTCAAGAGGATCATTGACGGTGAGGCAGACAGAGACCTTGTGTGCATTCAAATGTGTTGTTAATTGGCCTGAATGTCAGAATCGTTTTGTGCAGCAACTCAGTAGTTGTGCATAAATATCCAAATACCACAAAAGACCTAAATGACCCCATTCTTTCCATGATTATACACATTATTTACTATTTAAAGCAATACAGCTATTGATCATCCCCCCATAGTGAATATCTGCCACCCTGCTACTCTCACTCATATTGATTGTAAGGGGGTTGTTAAGTAGATTCAGAGAGGCTATAATGAATATAGTGGTGGTTCTTCCTTCTGCTAATGCATATCGATTCGATATCTGTCCAAGGGTCACACTGACCATGGGCCTGTGACTGCATACAGGATCCACTGCACACACAGTGTGCGATTTGTTCAGGTCCAGTGAAACAATAGACGTGTTTTCCTCAATACACCCTCTGAGAGCAACAGTCTGCCGGTTTAAGAAATATGCTCATTTTCTCTCTGGAGGACAGTTGCTGCTGCAGCCAGCAGCTGGTTGGCTTAGAACAATCAATCAGAAACAGTATCAACGTACTAATGTGGCTTGTTTTATTTATTTGTATATATGATAAGGTCTCAAGTAGCCATTTCTGTCTTGGTTGAGTTCAGAATATCATTAGTCTGGAATATGACTCACACATTAAGTACGTTGTTTTAATGGATCAATTATATTGAACTAACACATCTCAATGAGACAATTAATCATTTCGGTTATCAATACAATACAGCTTTCAACGTCATTGATTTACTGTGGTGAAGCACATTCAGCCTGCTTCTTAACATGCAGCTGTGGTGTTGGTTTCCAGGGAACACACCGCTGATTTTCCCGCCTCACACCTCGACCTGTTGGGTTTGATATTTGTGAGTGATTGAGTTTTCTTGTTAGGCAGCCGCAACTCTCCTCGGAGCATAAAAGTCACACTCGAACCAATAAATGTACAGCTGAAGGGCCGGCTCGGTTATTACGGGAGAGGGATTGAGTCTCTTGCAAGATTAGCTTGACATATGAAGTGGCAATGTTTGTGTCACTCCGATCGCAGTGGGAATACAGAGGAGTGAAATGCAGCAGACTTTGTAAGGTCTACAAAGCAGACACGTACAAAAATAAACATTGAAATTTTTTAATGTCTCCCTTTTTATCTTACAATACATTCAAATACAACAGAAATAACAATTTTGCTACTAACAATGATGTCTTTAAACGGTTAACTCACCAAAGCCTCCAAGTGAGGATAAATATTTCCAAGACAAAGCTCTTTTATAATGCCGATAATCAGTCAGTAGAACACTTGACTCCAGGTAAGAGGGGCGAGTGGAGGAGGGCCATATATTTGCCTCAGTAAAGTCTTACGTACGAGATTAAGGTTGGAACGAGCTGGAAATATACTGACGCCATGTTACACCATCTAGTCAGCCTGGAACCACATGTGTGAGGAACATTTTTAGAAACTTACAAAATTCCTTCAGTACAGGTTTCGAGTTACTGGACTGGTAATTTTGAGGTTTGCATATGTGACGACAGACATATATGGAGCAAAGGACGCGTGGTTGGCTAATGCTGACCGTGGACCATGATGTGCTTGATGTATTTTACCATAAACACCTCTAGCAGTCTTAGCTAAGCTCAGATCCCACCTGTCACTCTGTTTCAGACCATTTAATCATGTTGTAATCTAAAAAGTATATATTGTTTTTCTTTTAAAAGTCTCTCTCTCTCTCTCTCTCTCTCTCTCTCTCTCTCCCTCTTCCATGGTAGCTTATGTGCTCCAAGTCAAAGTTGAGATGGAATTGGAGATCCAGCAATGTGAGAAGACCAAGGCTGTGAGAGAAGAGCAGCTGGAGCGTCTCACTCAGATCTGCCAGGAACAGGCGGTGAGTACCAAAACAAGTCTTTTCCTTACAGCTAGAAATCACTGATCACATCCACTCAAAGGAGTATATATGGAGTCCTTATTGACAACACACACCCATACCTTGAAATGGTTCCCTGTGAGAAAGATGCAATACATTCAGCAATATCTTTGAAAATATCTGTGTTTGCAACGTGAAGCTAAAAGCATCTCATGGCCTACTAAGCTAAGACAGATTCTATTCTTTTTTGACAAACCACATTTTAGTTTTTTTAATGACATTTTTTGCACCGGGCATCTTTGCTGTAAACGGTCTGCGCGCCGGGGCCACGCGCTCTGTCCTGCAGTCCGTCCGTCATGCTCGGCGGCTTGATATGCGATGCCACAATGGAGTCAGGTCTGAAGATATGGGCAGAACAATGACCGACAGCCCGTTGCTGTATGAGCCTGAAGTCCTCCTCCACCCGTTTTATCGTCCCCCAACCGGACACGAGACAGGAGAAGACTGCGTTAGCTCAGGTTCCATCTCGGCTCTGCTCCCGGGGTGCCAGACCTCCCTTTCGGTGGCATTTGGTATATGGTTGGTCTGAAGACGCCGTGATCGTCATAATCCTGCCGGACTAAATCCAATCCACTGTCTTCTCTGATGTTGATCAGTGTATCTCTATGAAAGACCACACATGCTTCAACATCGAACACAAAAAAGTACAAATCCAAATGTATGGGCACTACCGGCTAAAGCACTACATGCAACATCAGGACATTTCTTTATGACATACTATGATATTTTTATTTTTGGAGACTTTTTAAAGTTATATAATTATTATTATTGTTGGTTTATTTGATACAGGACAGTGCACATTGATGCTAAAAGGCATAAAATAAACCTATTAAGATAGAAAAAAGTTATACAATATTGAGGCTTTACAATGCACGCACAAAATTAATGAAATAAGTGAGCTTAAGTGAACTTTTATACATTGTCTACTTATAAGACGTGCATCACAGAGGCTAAACAAAGCAAATAAGATTAGGAATGACTGTTAAATTAGAAACAAGGTGTGAAATACATAAATCAGTCAGAACTTAACAACCATAAAAGACATAGGTGAGGGTCGACCAGAAGTTTATCAGATACTATTTAATTTTCATGACATACTAGATTTTGATGACCTATCTTACGATCTCGTGGCACACTATTCTTTAACATTTTGCACGGCATGTTGATGACTTATATAACCTTTTATAAGTTAGTTAGAATGTATATGCAAATAGCAAAAGTGTTTAACTTAATTCAATTGCACATCAGTCAATCAATTTCTGCTCTATAGTACATTTATATTAAATGTTTAAGGCCTCATGAGCTCTTTCTACACTGTTAGCTCAGACACCACCAGAGGAGGGCAGCAGTACCTTACAAACAGGTCCACTCTTTCCAGCCATCGTATTTGGATTCCTCAGAGCACGCACACCGATGATCCTAGGCTCAACTTGCAATTCACCATCTATGTATAATGCATTAATTAAACATTCAAAAGGTCATCATCAGATCCTTTAAAAGCTAATTTTTAGAAAATTGCTCCTCGCGTACATAGACTCTAGTTTTCTATTCTATGTTTTTGATATACATTGTAGGGGATACCTTATCCAATGTGTTAATCAATGAATATATATGATTTATCGTATGGTACAGTGATTTGTTTAACTAATAAACACCCTCTGCATGTATGATTGGAAAATGTTGTTGCCTTAATGTGTTATTTTGTATCGCCTTCTTTTTCACAAAATCTGCTGCTGAAATGCTTTCTTGATACTCATTATCAAGAAAACATTTCACTTCACTGCATAACGAATACACATGATTAGACAACGCATTGGATTAATGAAGAGAATCGCTAACCATTAACAACCTTTAAACCTTTCAGAACAGACAAGCTTTGTCTATGCGTGTCACAGGTCCAATCCTACTGGTACTTTGTCACTCTATTGTCCCCTGTTCTCTCTCTTTTGTGTTTTGTGTATTCCCCTCCACATAATCTGTTCCATTTATGTCCTCATCCCTCATCTTTTCTACATTCCATTTGTTTATTCTCTAATCGGCGGCGTTCCCTCTCTTCCTACATGCACACACCAACTGTCTCCAGTTTGAGATCAGACAGCTGAGGGCCCATCTGGCCCAACAGGACCTGGACCTTGCGGCAGAACGCGAAGCAGCCATGCAGATTCATCATGTATGGGGCAAACAGGGCAGGAGCTTTCAGGTTGTGGAAGGCTTGACTCCCGGAGAATCTGACGATGAGGGCGGCCAGAGGAACCCCAGGGAGCCTCATGTCACTGCAGGTACAGTGTGGTTTTTAAGGACAGGGTTGCTATAAATGCCAAATGTAAAGTGATAATGGTTTTGTAAATCATAAAAAATGCAGAAAAGAAAGATGAAAAAGAACATATTATCCAGTTGAATTATAAATATTGTAATCTATAATCCCTTCCGGTGCATTGAGGGTAATGGTTGGTTTAGAAACACAATAATTCACAAACTGAAATGTAATGAGTCTAAGACAAAAGCCCAGTGGCATTAAAATATTGCTTATTTGAATACAAACCATGCCAGTTGTACTGTGTGCTTGAAAAAGCAACATGACAAAACCAGAAGAGAAATGCAGCATAAAGTATGTACATAATTATGTGGAACAAAAAGTCTCTAACAGTGTAACATCAGGTGAACTGGATGCCAAAGCAGTGTAGAGTTAATCTGGAGCAGTCGCCCTGGAGCATCTTCCAGGCCGGGCTCTTAGCCCTCCGTGCTCGCCCACAACACCCTTCTGCCCGCAGGCGCTGCGGGATCAATATGAGGGCAAAAAAGCTTTTAGGATCTGGTGAATCCTGGAGAAAACAAGCATGTTCTCCGACACTACGTCAGCTTGCACGGGGCTTCTGTCGTGCCCCAACTGTCTCTCTCACCACCCACTTTGTGGCGAGGCCGACCCGGCCATCCCAGACCACTATTTCAGGTACAGAGTGCTCTGTGCATTGTGACTTGTTCGGGAGAGTGGGCTCCTGTCAACATCTGTTCCCCTTCACCTGCAAACCACAATAGGGCACCAGGAGAGGCTCCACGGCGGCCACAATATTACCCCAAGGGCATTGTGGGAAATCTGGCTCTCAGAAACAAGTGGGGTTTTTTACGGAAACATGGTCCCTGGGATGGGCACTTTGGCCACAGGGCTCAGGTCATGTCAGGTCAGCGTTTATACGTATTGCTCAATATTGTGCGCTCGTGGTCGTCTTAAGAATGAAAGTTACAGGGGATTGAGGGTTTCCCCATGAAGTACCAATTTTCAAAAACATGACAATCAGTGTTAATCAACCAGCTGCGTTTTTTCTCCAACACCTAGATAGATTGTATCCAAGGTATTGACTACTGCTTTGATCTGAATGGCAACATTCTCATGATAATGCTGACGTGCAGATCTCGAGCTCGTCTAGTGTTGACCATGTTAATTATCTTTGTTCGATGATGAACATAAATGGTGAACGTCACTGGATGAAGAGTCAGAAGATCGGCCAAAGTTATTGGAACTCCCCCTAAGAGGGACATGGAAGTCTTTACCAAATTTGATGACAATCCACCCAATAAACATAAAAATGTCAGCCTGACAACGGCAGACAAGGGTAAAATGTCCTGGATAACGAAAGTATTCATCCCAACATTGCCATATAGTTCCTTCTCACAGCAGCCATCGTCCTAGCAGGATAAACAGGTGTAATCGGTGAAATTGAATATGGTGGTATTCTATTTAGTGTGTGGCTACCAGGGCCTTGGCCCACCTTAATGGACCACTGGCAAGTCAAAATGGCTGCTGTAAAAAGGGCCTCTTGTATTGGGAATAGCTTTCTCTACCAACCCCCATCCCAGCACCGCTGGACCCTGTCCTACCGCAGTGCCCATTTACACCCCTGATGCCTTTTCACTTCATCTGCATCAACATCAGTTACAATGGTAACAATTCTTCCTCTGAGACAACTTCATCCGCGATGTAGAACTGATACCTCACCCGTCCAATTTATAGTTCAGATTTGAACTAAAAGGACCTTGGCATGTCACCTCTCTTTTCTCCACAAAAAGGTGACAGCCCAGTATCTTGACAGTCACAGAAAGAAGGGCAAAGCCTTTTTACGTGTGCTGGACAGCCCATTTTTTAATCTTAAGACTCATGTGTTATTAATTGTGAAGTGATTGTCTCAGTCTTGTTTTAGTGAGTGCAATGCCTTCTCTCCAGGGGTGGCTCAAGGATTAATATTTTAGACTGAAAAATAAATGAAATTACCCATCAGAGTCTGCAGCGTGTCCCGGGGGACAGGGGCTAGCACTCAGGGTACTCTGGGTTCGCACTCAGCCAGCGGACAGTGAGCTCAAGACCAATCAAGCGCACGGAGGAAGCATAGCGGATCACAGCCATTCACTGCGCACGCAGAGGTCTGCTAGACTGGAGGGGTCTGCGCCTGAACAAAGAGCTCCCACTCTCTCTCTCTCTCTCTCACTCTCTCTCTCTCTCTCTCCCGCTCTCTTTTATTTTCACTCACTCCTCTTATCCCTGAAAAAACCAACCCCACCCTGTCCCAGTTTATTTCTGGTGCACTAGGGTGCAGCTAATGCACAGCGTAGCAGTGCTTGATCCTGACCGCTTGACAATGAAGTACCTGTGGCCCGGGGCATAAGACATCTCTGTCAATATTATGTTGTAAACACAGGAGATATTTTCCATTTGCACTACTTTGTGCGGTTAACACAGAAACAGACCTGACAAAAAGGCGTGCAATCCAATTGCATGTTCTACCACAGAGAGAAGTAGCAGTCAGTCACGCTATGTTTCAACATAATTCGACAGTATTGGTCCTTTTCACTCGGATCCATTTATGTACTATTGTTGAATATAATATTTGAGTAGTATTTAATTTCTTTCTTTCTTTTTGTATTTATCTACGATCCAAAATGTTAAAAACCAGGCATTGTTATTTAAACTGAGATGACAGTGAAAAAAAAGAGTTACAGTGATAACATGCATATGTTATAAAACATGTAGTAGAATGAAAGAGTAAATGCTCCCCTCATATGGATTACTTTTAACAAAATTTGGTCACTATAGCAACATGTCTGGGTGTTGTTATTCACTTAAATGGTTCATATGTGTATTCATTATTATCTCAGATCCAGTTGTGCGTGATGACATGAACAACTACATCAGCCAATACTACAGTGAAGCGAGCAGCGGTAAGTGTCTACGAGCATAGATTTTTATACATACCTCTCCATGTTCATGTAAATAAAATTACAGTAAGCGAAACAGTTCATCAAAAACTACTTTTGGGGTGGTTAAAAGGATGTTAAGTAAAAGGTGATAGGACTAAACTTCTTAGGTCTGGTCATAGAATTAGCTGATGCAGGTTATTGCCTTACAGGTTGACACACTGAATATCTGTCGAGATAGAAATATTCTAATATAAACTCAGAACTTAACTTATTCAGCCTGGCTTTACCTAGGCACATATATTAATTATTAAGGTGACTTTCTCATACTGTAATCAAGCTTTGGTGATATAACTGACAAACAGTAGACTGTTAGAGCAGGTGTCCACATAGCGTCTTTCCTATTGATGCAACTCATCCTCCTTCGGCAGCGTCTCTGCCTGAAAAAGTCTTTACTTGGAAAAAGAGCCTATGCAATTTTTGTGTTTGAAGAAATTAGCTCATTTGTTTTATGTGGTTTGACCCTTTTCTAAAAATAAATGCATTGTTTTTAAAGACGCTGGAGCTTCTGGCTTGGGTGCCCAGGCTATCACCAGGGCATCCATCGACGTCCACCTCCCCATCAACCTAAATCCCAATCAGCCAAACCCGATGCTTGCGATGGAGCGAGTGGGCAGCGTGGTAAGTGACGCCTCAACCAGCATGTCGCGGTCCAGCGGCAGCCTTACAGCTCGCCCGCTCAGCCTGAGTAGCCACACCCCGGGTTCATCCATGACAGACTGCAGCAGCAGCACAGCTCAGGACCTCGGTCTGAGCTACAGCACCCACCGCTGCTGTCCTCCGTCCTACTCAGGCCAGGACGCCTGTAGAGACCCCGGCATGGTGGTTCAGGAGCTACTCTTCTCCATCTCTGAGGACTCCTGCCTTGCTCGAAAGGGCCTGGCAGTGGACCCTGTCAACCTCAAGCTTCCCAGCCCCACTGGCTCAGAAAGGGCCAGCCCCGAGCTGGACAATAGAATAAACCTCTTCAACTGCAGGAACCAAGAGGAGAGACGAGGCAGGGCAAGGGGTTGTGTGCTGTTGCAGACCAAGCCGCTGATCCACCTGCAGAGCAGCACCACCGAGCCGTCCCTGGAGGAGAAGTACCGGCTCCTGGGACCAGCTGACACACCTCTGGGGAACTTACCTGATACATAGGCTGCATATACACAGAAACAGAAGTATTATCCTTTACTTTACTGCCTCCTTGTGTGGCATCTACCTGAAGTTTGTGGCAGGTTAAAGCTTATGAGAAGCACATTATATTATTAATATTTTTCTTTGAGCCAAAACTGATGCTCCTTAACTTCACGTGTTCAAAAGTCGAATAGTAGAAATGATAATAGGAACTCATAGGCCCTTTGCCATAATGTCCAATCTCCCATGTTCCTCATTGATGTTTTCTTTTTTTACATCAGAAATTCCCTGATATAGCACAACAACGACTGTAACATCCCAGCTGGGGCCCCTGATCAGGAATTCTCACTTTGAAAAGGTCTGAAAATGCTGTGCACTTTGAAAATACACTGAACTTTAAATGAATCAAAACCAGCAAGGGGCCACTCAAAAACTTTAAGTCTGAACCGTGTCCTCTGTTCTTTGAAATGTAATAGTTGAAAGGATTTTTTTCTATTGCATTTGTGTTGTTATTTTGTTTCTCTCAATTTGTATGGATCAACTTTCGGATCAGGCATGCTGTTCTTTGTCAAACAGCTACAGGGTACATAAGACTGGCTTAACTATACAAACAGCCAATTTGTATTTAACCTATGCCTTTTTATCACCCATTTGTTTGATTTGTAACAATGGACCACCATCAGTAGTTATTAAATAGCATTTTTATTTACTTGTTCAAAAAACGTTAGTAGGGTATATTTGTGTGGTTGAAATGAAAAGTTAAGTAACTGGATTCTTTACATGAAACTGAGTGCTTGTAGCATGAAAGACATGTGCCCAAAATGGCAAGCAAATTCTTTGCACTTTAACGTTTACAGACACGTTTGTAAACTTGATATGGAGGAAGTTATTGCCAAACGCAGGTGATGTCATTTGAATGAAAATAGCAAAAATAAAAATGAGTATTTCCTTAACGTTTCTCAGTTTACTGAAATTGAAGCAATAATAAGCACGATAAAACTGATAACTACTGAGTGGCCTCTAATCAAATATGTTCTTCTCACAGGCTCCTTGTTACACACTGCACTGTACAACATTATTTCATTAGTATCTTCTCATTATGTGCATAATATTTTGAGATACCTAAATTATTTAAGGTTATTAACATTGAAAGACCTGTCAAAACAATTGCTAATTGGTCAAGTCATTGTACGCGTGTCGTGAGAATCAACCCCCCTAATTACTCTCTCATATGATTAATTCAAAAGATAAACTGCTGTACCATTTTGTTGCTTGTCAAATGTTTACAAGTATCCAGAGAATGTTTTAATTGTTAATAACTATTATAGCTACAACTAAGCTACCAACACAAGGATTTTAGAAGTAACAATACATAGAGATATAAAGATATGATGGGATACGGTCTAACTGAGCAGAGAATCACTCTGTGTGTGTGTGATGTGTTCCATGCTTCTCTTTGCTCTGTTATCCTTTGGTGCATGTTAGTTCACGTGACGCCCTCCTGGCTAAGTCTCGCTCAAACAGGAATGGATACAACTGGCAGTGTCTTCTCAAATAACAGCGTTATCGCAGATGTGCAGAAACCCCCCTTCCTCCGGTTGCCACTCGGGTAAAAACGCTTTTCTCTGTCAGCACGCTTGCTGCAGTTTGTACTGTTAGTGCTTTTAGCGCAGTTAGCTGAGCCACTATGTTGAGAGCGATAGAAATGTCCCCAATCTCACATTGTTCAACTTTAATTTGCAAATCCGTGAATGAGGATTGTTTGTTTATTCATTTGTAAATGGAACAGCGCATAAAAGGAACTAAGGTGACTAGTACAAATACTGTTGTGGGTCTCAGAATAATATTATCAGTACTGCAGTTCTTTTTCAAGACAAATGAAAGAATCCTCGCCCTGAGAAAGTGAGTTGAAGCCTTGAGTCTGAATTCAAATTATACTGAGACTTTTATACATGGCTATAGACCATAAACTTAATTGGTCAAGAAATCAAAGTAAGCTGTCCCAAAACTGCATTTTAATTCCCAAAATAATTATTGTGCAAATTGGCAATGCCCTCTTTTTTGTAAACTGACCCAAACTGCTGCCCCCCAAAGCAGCGTCCTGCTGTTCTATCAACATCATCAAACACTTCTTCAAAAATATGGAATTGCAGTTTATTAAATTATAGATGTATTACATCTGAACAGTGGATTCTATTTAAGTTATTTAAAAATATTTAACTAAACTCATTTTGGCTTTCAGGGTGCGCTGTGTAACACCTGGCGCCATCTAGCGGCGAGGTAACAGATTGCAACCAACTAAAACTTCCACCGTACGTGGAGTGTGGAGGAAAGCTGGTGCAAATGTGCAAGTGGCCCCATTCAGAGCTAGTTTTTTAGTTTCTCCGTTCTAGAGTAGGAACATGGTGGCCGGCCCAATACAGACGACCCACTCCGCATATAGACATAGACAACTCATAACAACATTGCTTTTTAAAATATACTTAATACATAAGGTTTTACTTAATTTCTGCCAATAGATCTCCATAAATTCTACAAAATCTTCCTTTAAGTAATAAGCCATTTGTTGAGGCTTATTGACTGATCTTTAGGGCAACCTGAAGAAGTAATGTATATTAATTGCTTGGCTCTTGACACATACAAAGGGGTCCTTTGAATATGGGTGCAAAACCTTCACCGCCTCCATAACAAGGCCTCAACTCAAGGTGCTGTGTCTCTATCTTAACACCTTACAGCTGCAGTCCTGATGAAGCTAAATTATTTGTACTAATAACTGAAGATTACTGTAAAAAATGCCTTATGCTAAAAGCCTTTCCTTTAATACAAAGGGCCAAATGAAAGGTGTGCCTAAATGATTCATATGAACCCATTTTGTCCATACGTATCATTACAGGTCAGTCTGAGGTAAGTGTTCAATTTTGACAGGCAGACATTGAGCAGACCTTTAAGAGACTTCCTAAGAAGTAAATTGCTTTTGGGACCTCTTTGACGAATCAAAAGGTACAGTACCTGTCACGCTCACAGGTTGCTAAGTGAATTAACAGTTACCATTAGACACTTAATAATTCAAATGTTTTAATAATTGCACAGAAGGAGTCACTTTAACTGCATTAACATTACATGATCATTGTTGATTCACATATACCGAATCTTAGGCACAGTAAAATAATGACCCCTCTCCTTACAAGACAGAAATATGAATTTTCTTCATACTATAAAACACTTACAGCAGTGTCGCAGGAGTTAACAGTTGACCTAATCGCACAAAATTAGAAATGATTTACTTATGTATGCACTCACTGAGTGCATGCATTTTTCTGAAGTCAAACAGTAATCTTCAAACAATGACCGTTTAAATTAGGTTTTAATTCACCTCGACGCTGACACTGAAATTGAAACAGCTTTATCATTATTAATATGCAGGATTTTAAGGAAATATGTTAACCACAATAGCATGTAACATATGAACGGGGAAAAAAGCAGTCACAGAACTTTACAGGTGTGCAGAGATGAAGGTGCTGTTTGAATCTGGACTCTGGATATATTGGGACTTATGACATAGGATATTACGAGCACTTGTATGACACTTTTGACATGCTATACTGTGACCTGCTACCTATGACTTTGACCTTTCGAGGATGCACACTGCCTTTGCCTTGTCGATTTGGATCAGCTCCCGCTGGGACCCTGAATTCAATAAGCTCTAACAGAAAATTGATGGATATGTTATGACTTTTTTTTATGACACACTGTACAAAACTTTTTTCGACTCCTTGGTTGTTGCTATCCCTGGAGTTGCTCCATTTTTTCCCTGTTTAAATGTTTTTTTGAGGAGGAAGCTCTTCCTTCTCCAAAACAAGGGTCCAACTACAGATGATGATTTGTGACATTGGGTTTTGAACAATACATTTTCTTTTATAAATGTTCTCACTTTTTTGACTAACTTTGCTGTGACTTTTGTGGACTTTTTTCCACATACACCATACTATTTTCTAAACGATACTATGTCAGTTTTTTCAAAATTGTTTTGGGATTTCTGAAACACTCTTTCCAACACTATACAATACAATGACTCATTTATGACTTTGGGTCATCAGGAACCAAGTAAGCACAAAATTAAGTAATATAACATTATACGGCATGTTACTGCACAATACATTAACAGTTAACATTAAATTAAATCATTATCATTATCATAAAGGTCATTCCCCTATGAGCACATTATGTGTTGATTTTACTGTGTTACTAGTTGACAATGACTTGTTGATGATTAGTTCAACATATACACTATTACTTTAAAGGATATTTTGATATTCATATATTTTCCAACTTCTTTGACCCTTTTTTTTGTTCACCATTTCCATTCAGTTAGATAAATAGAACAATAGGTCCATATAAATGTACAAAAACAAATGAATACATACTTTGAATGGTTAGAACTGACTAATCATTCAAATTTGCTGGTATTAATATACAGCATATGATGTTTTTAATTGCTTTTAACACTCAAGGGGTTTTGTTTATGAATGTGATTTATTTTCACGTGCGTGGGAAAGGTTTTGAATGCCCACTTATGGCGCAGAACAGCTGGGCGTATGTCTCAGAAAGAACAAACCGATGTGGGAAGTGTGGCCGCATTACTGTTGCGGTCTGACAGATTCAGAACACGTCTCACACAGGACATTCTGTGAAGAGGCTCTGAAGCAGGAGAAAAATACAAATAAATTATACATCATTCTTTAAAAAGCTTCTCAGGTTCTTTTTTTGCAACATACTTCTTAAGTGCACAGGATCCAGTGGTTTGCTTGGTGGAATAAATCCACTCGGGGGACTGTTGTCATGGCTACAGAAGTTTTTTTTTCAGCATTAACATAAAAGAGCTTGTTTTTTATGCTTCTTTGAATAAAATTGGGTCAAGATGAAACTCGAAAGACCTGCTGAACGACCATTGCTCAATCATTTCAGTCCTCTTGAGATATGTTCATTTTTACATCGGTCTTGGTGAACGTGTATTATATTTGTAATTTGCTAATAAAAGGAACACAAGCAAACTATGAATGTAAATACATCCATGAACTAATTTGTGGGTGTTCATAACCGCATGTTAAAGATTCTTGCTTTGTTTGTGCTTTTCCAAAGAAAAGAAAAAAGCCTGAATAATTTGTCTTGTTGCTCCTGCACATCTTATAAGCATCAGAAGAAGATGAAGACGTGAGGCTGGTCATGTGATAAACATGAAGACACAACTGAGCCAATCCTCTGGGAGATGGAACACCACATCACTGTGCTCCAAAGAACTGGATAAAATAATCTACATAACATAAAAATTAATTCAGCAATCCAATGTGATAGTAGGTTATGCATGAGTTGCTACACGGTGGGTAAATTAGCAAACATTTTTCTGTAAAAAGCCCAACTCTTCAGGGAAATTGCTGCACAGATTAAAAAAAGTCTAAATGTTATCAAAGTCACATACATGCACATTCAACGTCCCGCTTCTGCAACAGATGCGTAAACATCTTGACCACACATTTACAGCAACGAGATGTGAGTGCATACTGCACCCCAAACAAAAATGAATTATCATTAAAACCTACACAGCAATCTTTATTCCAAGTGTGAACAAATCATTCTTGACTTGAATGAAATAGTTGAAATGAAATGTTTCTTATTCCTGTCATGAGTTTTGATTGGTCTTGAAAATACTAATGCAGCATTCAAATTACAACATATACAACATAAGAACGTATGAAAAAAACTGGGCTAAAGAACTGAGTTTACTGTCAGTTTTGTGTGATCTGATTTAAATCACTGGTTCCTAATGAAGCTGGATGTTGCTCCTGAGATTCTAAATAAGTTGTAATAAAAAAATAATGTATCAAGAGCAAAATGTACTGTTTTAAAAATGTAAATGTAGCATTTACTATATCTTAATATTATTGTCACCTAAAGC